GTATACACATTTTAAGAAAGGAAAAAACAGTATTAAAATTATGCTGATAGTAACCACTTTGAGCACCTCTTATAATTGCACAAGTCAAACCTGACTTGTATTTATCTTTTGTTATCAGTATATATTGAGTATTACAATTTTAATACAGTTTTTTTTCCTTTCTTAAAATGTGTCTACATTTTTTTGGCACCCTCTGTATATTTGACATATTTTGTCAATATAAATTATGTATTTCTCTATATTGGGAAGGTTAAAAATGTCTTAAAAGAATTTAAATTATATGTGTATCATAAAAACCTATTGGATGCCACTAGTACTGTGTTCTGTCATGTCCTTTTTTCCCACACCAACCCTAGGAGGTGGGTGTTGTTAATCCCCTTTGACAGAGAGCACACTGAGGTTCAGAGACATGAGAGCTCAGGGGAAGGCCCCACCGTAAGTGGTAGAAAGGGGTTCTAAGCTGGGTCCATTCAACTCCAGAGGAAGTTCGATAGAACCAGTTATAACTGAGTCAAGGAAAAGCTGAGCACTGCAAACAGACTCCAGTTTTAAAAATCAGCCATGAATTGAGAACAGAGTCTTGGATGAGATAGCCTCATATAATAACTGATTTCTGTTTCAAATTTTCCTGTGATCATTCTGTACACATGTGTATACACACATGTGGTAATTTTATATACATGTTGCAGATGGCAATCAGTCTTCTACAGCTGTTATGTCTACTGAGTAAATAACGTCTTGTGTAACCTATGATTTTTCTAAGTGGAAAGACCTACACTTCAAGATGGTTAAAATTAAGATGCAAGTTTTATGTTTAAAATCAGTCTTTAGGCTGCCATCATAAACGTTTTACCCCTTTTATCATCTCTCATTTACAAGTTGTTTTAAAAGCATTAATTTTAAATTTCTTGTCCTTGATTTGAGTCTAGGTCCTTCAATTTGGGGTATAAATGTTGAAGGCATTCTGAAAACTTAAGTGTCAAAAGCAAAATGACCCATGCAGCCAACTCCCTATAAAACTTTGTAATTTTATCTTCAAGTGATTCTGCCATGGTGCTGTGGGGCTATAGTTAATATTCAAAAGTACCTAACATCTTGGATGGGAGTAACTGTTTTTTTAGGGTTTTATTTTTCCATTTCCCACTGACAAATGAGTCTATGCAGAAGAACATTGGGTCAAGAAAAGCAAATGCAAATCAATGCACTAAAAGATATTTACCAAATGTATTGCTGTAATTCTCAGGGAAGATTTAATAATTTCTAACTCATTGTCATCTTTTACTTAACCCCTTAAAGACACTTGGATGACAAAAACATTCATGTTTTAAACTGAGAAAAAAATTTCAGCAAGCAAATAAGTTTTCTATGTAAGTATTTTGGAATGAATGGGCTGAATGAAAATTGCATATCTCTGGCACTTAAAGAAAGAGAAAAAGAGAGAGGAGGTGGCAGGATGGAAATGTCCTCAGGCTCTACCATCTAAGTAACAAGGAGAAGAAAAAGAGGAGTAAGGTTGAATGATGAGGCATGGTGTTCTCATTTATATGCGTAATTTATTCCTCCTTGTAATACTTAGGTTGCTCCTTTTAATAATGAAAAGAGCACTAGAGGTGGAACACACAGAGTGTGCCCTCCCCAGTGGCCAGGTCCAGACCCACTTCCGGGCTGCTGGGACTTCCATGGGTTTTTAAAGCCACTGCCACCACCCACTCTATGTCGAGCTTCCTCAGACACTTTGATTTTTCTCCTGCTCAAGAGGCCAGGGAACTAAGCAAAATGGGGAAGTATCCACATTTTTTTTTAAAGTCCTAGAAAGTTTCTTAGCCATTAGCGCTGATGCATTATTTACTTAGCAGGAACTCAGCAAGTCCAGTCGGTCTGGTAGCTGCCAGAGCTGCGGAATTTCCATCCCAATGACTGACAGGGTCAGTCTGATTTCTCTGTCTGCCAGTCCTGAACCCTCTTTCCAAATTCCAACGTGCTCCCCCATGCACATCCTGCAAGTAGAGGTCTGCACTGGACAGGGTTGTAAAATACACAGTACACATTTTAATGCTGCCATTCTGACTGACTGGAGGAAGACCAGGCTAAGTTAATGAGAAGTCTGCATTCTAAAGTCCATGAAAAAGAAACAAATGTATTCCTTTTAAGCACTTAGGAAACTTGAGCAACCAAAAGCAAGCATTTGTTCATTAATTTAAACTACTTTAATGAATCACTGAGGATATGTGTAGTAGGGAGATGGAAACTATGAGCAAAAGACCACTGTGAATTTGCAGGAAACAGAAACAAAGCCTCTGAGAGAAAAAAGAACTAGACTTGAGTGCTATTACCAGGTAGGAGACAAACTGAGAAGAGAATGTATTATTCCAAACTCTTTCCAATCCCAACTTTTAATACCATTTAAACTTTCTTCCCCGCTGGTGGGAATGTCAATTGATGCAGCCACTATGGAAAACAGTATGGAGGTGCCTCAAAAAGTTAAAAATAGAGTTAGCTTTTGACCTAGCAATCCCTCTTCTGGGTATCTACCCAAAAAATTTGAAAACATTTATTTGTAAAGATATATATACCCATATGTTCATTGCAGCTTTATTCACGGTGGCCAAGACATGGAAACAACCTAAGTGTCCTTCAATAAATGACTGAAGAAGATGTGATATATATATATACATATATATATATACATATATATATGTATATATATATATGTATGTATATATATATATATGTATATATATAAAAAATGGACTACCACTCAGCCATTAGGAAAGGTGAAATATTGCCATTTGCAACAACATAGACAGATCTTGAGAATATCATGCTAAATGAAATAAGTCAGATGGAAAAAGTCAAGAACCATATGCTTTCACTCATATGTGGGATATAAAACTGAAAGCAGCAAATGAACAAGACAAACAAAAATTCATAGACACAGACAACAGTTTAGTGGTTACCAGAGGGGAAGGGGGAAGGGGGAATGATAGAAGAGGGTAAAGGGGGTCAAATATGTGGTGACAGGAGACTTGACTTTGGGTGGTGAACACACAACACAATATACAGATGACATATTACAGAATTGTACACTTGAAACCTATGTAATTTTATTAACCAATGTCACACCAATAAATGTAATAAAATTTTATTAAAAATTAAAACTTTTCTTTCGTGTCCAGTGTATTTGCCAACATCTGCCCTAATTTTCCTCACCAACGTCATTCTAACCTTCATGATTTCTTCAAAAAATGCTTCTGAAAGAAGCTTGAATCCTAATTTGTAATTTAAAAAAGGAGAAAATATTGATCAACAAATTCATGAAATGAAACTGTGTGATTTCTTGAAAAAAATGAGCTCAAGGTAAATTTAATAGATGAAATATTTCATTAGTCAAGCATCTAGGAATGTAATCAGAAGTGGAAGGCGAATATTGCAAAGTAAATATGCTAAACCCAAATGCAGTTGTCTTAATGGTCTTCTCGCCACTTTGGATATTGGTATTGTTAAATTTTAACTTTCCCGGACATAGCGGAAATGATAGGAGATGCGCAGTTTCCGGGCTGTGAAATGGACATAAAGAGCTGGTTAATTTCTTCTTGCTTGCAATCAAAGGGTCTTTCTTTCCTACACACAGGGATACAGAAGTCTCCTGGAACTATCATGAACCAACACTGAAGGTTTAGATACAGAAGAAAAGGCGCAGCAGGAAGCTATTTTTCCATCCATAACTGCTCCCTTTTTCTCACCAAGACTTTAAACTATTTCTACTGGGCATAAATGACACCTTATTGGTTCCAATTTCATGACAGTTAAGGAAGGTATACTTAAACCAGGTAATTGAACTTTTTTACTTTGGCAGCTAAGTTTCTCCAGTTTTTACTAAAATTGAAAAGGTCTAAGCGTGTATCTAACGATGTTGTATTTTTGGAAAGACCAAGTAGGACCAAGTGAAAAACTCATGTTGTTTATTAAAGTGCACTTTTGCTTTAATCATATTTAATTACCACATAGAAAAGATGGGAAAGGTAGGTGGTCTTATAGAGAAGCAAGCACCCTCTTACATAAGCACCCTCCATCCCTGTATGTTGAAAAGCCTGTCCAGATGTCACAGAGAGGCACCTGTGTCGCCTAAGGATGGACTAGATTAGGGATGGGCGAACCGTAGCCCGATGGTTAATAGGACCCAGGGCTTGTTTTATACAGCCTTCCAGTTTAGAAGGGTTTTTATATTTTGAAATGAAAAATATTCGAAAGTAGACTATTTTGTGACATGTGGAAATTGTATGCAATTCAAATTCCAGTGGCATCAATAAGGTCTTCCAGGCCCGCAGCCACGCTCGTTTGGTTATGGCTGCTTTTGTGTTGCACTGGTTGAGCTGAGTGGTTGCTAGAAGCCATATGGCCTGCAAAGCCCAAACTATTTCCTCTCTGGCTCTTTACTGAAAAAAAGTTTGCCAATCCCTAGGTTGGTGATCTCTAAGTTCCCTTTCACCTCCAAACTTCTAGGAATTTTACTTCCTTAGACAAGACAGAATCCTCCATCAAAGACAATGTAGCCTGATAATATAATGATCTCCAAAGAACTGTCTCTTTTGTGTTGTCAACATTTCCTATAAGATACATAAAATACTACTCATGGATGCCTGTAACATACATATAAACTTCCCAGATATTAATTACTTTTAAAGGTAGGGGCTCTTGGTTCTAGAAAGCAATAGTTATAATTTTGAGCAATTTTATTCTATTAACAGGTTTAAGAGACCAACTAAAATTACTGAATAAAATGAAAATGAAAAAACCCAACTCCCCTAGGAATTCATACCGTAAAATATTTATTAATAAGTAAAATGATTTCTCCCACCTTTGGTTATTAAAAAAAAAATTGAGTATCTTTGTTGATACCAATTGCCAACAACGGTTTTACATTTATTCAGTCATGAGATAGACGATAAATGATAGATAGATAGATAGATAGATAGATAGAGAGATGATAGATGATAGAGTGGATTGAAGATAGATTAGATAGATAGATAGATAGATAGATAGATAGATGATAGATGACAGACTATAGATATTGATATAAATGTGTAAAAGACCAACCTTACAATGTTTTAATTACAAATCTTGGTTCTTGCTAACAGTTGGAAATTTACTTACACATACTTAAACTTATTTCTTATAAGTAAACAATACACAAATAAATTCACTTGAATTTCATCCTTCAGAACACTGGTAATGAATACAGTGCTTGATGAAGATTAAACGACAGGGGAATAAGAACTAACTTTGTGGGGAAAGAAAGGCAATCTCTCTTTGAAAAGCTTTTCTCTTGACTTAATAGTCCCTATTGCCTGAAAAATAAGCCATTTTGATAACAAGAGTATAAAAAGCGTTATGATTTGCAAAGTAAATTGTATTTGTGGTTTAAATTTCACCCCAAGTCTCGGATTGTGGCTGAGGAGCTATACTGCATCTTTGTAAAGCATTTCTTTGATATTTATAGGGAAAACAAGAAAACGTTTTATCAGATCTAGGCAAAAATGCTGATCCTTAATTATGAGAACAATAATGATCTGTACTTTATACTATTGAGACACGGGGATGTGAAAACCAAAAAGAAATGCCAAGCCATACCACGTGGTAAAATTAAACATACTTGGAGAAGCAGGTGACATTTTATGATTTCAATACAAGAACACATCTAATTACCTCTTCTCAGGTGTCACTATAAAGTTGGAAAAATAGAAGATACAATCAAGAAGGGCATGAATGGCTTTATTACTACACCACCCACTACTTCAAGATGAAAATAATCCCAGAGTTCTGAAACGTCATTAGTTAAGTGACTATAGAATTTCTTTCAGACTCTTTTTAATGTAGAAAATCACTTTGTAATAAGATCTCTACACAAGGTAAAAAAGCACAAAATAGACCCAAAACAAAGCACAAAAATAGACAAAATATATATATCTTTTTACAATGAAACTAAGATATGCCTGTGAAACACTGAGATCAATGACTAATCTCAGAGTTCAAATTGGATTTCCTTTTATAATAATTGTCTTCTTTACATCCTCCCCTAAACCTTGGGTGCTTATGAAAAAAACTTACCCAGGTAAAAGGGGGGGGCAGGTGTTCTGACTTGGTACAGTAAAAAGACAGAAATAATAATAATAATAATGACATAATTAAAACCCTTAATCTATCCGTTTACAAATTTCTGACAGCCATACCTCAAGGGCACTTAAGGGCTCAAGCATGTGTCATACAACCTTCGGGAATAACACAGGCATCTCTAGGTGATGCTCTTTTTTCATCATAAATCAATCATGCACTAGGATGAAACATATCCAGAGAAGCTAATTCAGAGAGAGACATTTTCACACAGTTTGGGGGCAAATGAAGCCATCCCAAAGAATTGTGCCATCAATGCCACCGGTGTGCATGGACTTCCACTTTGAGAATCCTTGCCAAGTCCAGAGTTTGCCTGTTTCCCCCGGTCTCGTACAGGAACCCGCTGGCGCCTTGAGTTACACGGTCACGGCTGGGTACATCTTCTGTTCGCTAGTAGTGTGAGGAAAGGGGGCCTGGATCTGCCGGTAGCCTGTCTGCAGGCCGTCCATGAAAGGGGGAACGGGAGTCATGGGCACCGAGTCGTGCTGCACCGTGTACCCCACGTATGGGGGATGTAGATACTGCCCTTGATGGGGCACAATCTGGGTGGCCTGCTGACAGTTCAGCACGGAGAAATTGGTGGGCATGTTGACATACACATTGTTCATGGTACCCTCGGGCAAGCAGCAGTTGGTCTGTGACCTTGTTGGGGGTGCCCGGGCCCCTGAGTTGGCGCTGGAGCTGGAGCTGGCAGCTGTGCTGGACTGACGGGAGGATGACCCTCGGGAAGTGCTGGCGCTGGGGATCATGGGGATGGTCTCCATCAAGCGGTTCCCTCCTGGGGCCCGGCTCTGCTGGGGCTCCTGCTTAGGCCGGAGGCATCTGCAGCAACAGGCCGCCACAAGTGACCCCAAGATGATGAAGGCGACAAACACGGACCCAACGATGAGGAATGGCACGTAGATGGGGACTGGAGGGCAAAAACATAACATTATGATTTACTGTAAGAACGCAGCTAAAATCGGTGATTGGCAGTGGACATGAATAAATGAGCAGCACTGATACCCAGAACTGAAGGACCCAGGCTGGGCCGGTTTGTGTGCCCATTAGCAGCCCATAATATGCACCGTCCTTTATCATGTGCTCAGGAAAGGTGGTAGGGCCCTATAGGCATGGCAGATCAGCCCCCCATCTCCAAAGCAAAACTGTTAATATCTATAGCTAGACTCACCAACTACAACACTGATTGACGCAAATATCCAATGTAGCGAAAATATGGGTATCATCTTTTAAGGCTGTTCTACAATTGCTAAAATAACTGAACTGCCCAAACTTAAGTCTGCCCTAACAGATAGTTGTAGGGTCTGTATAGAAATGAGTTTAAATTATTTCAAAGGCTTTTTTTTTCCTTCAGAAAGTTATTTATGTACCTTGCAAACTCCTTTTACAATTTTTTAGCAAGTTCTTTTTCACAGGCAAATAAATAAAAAACAGGTCAGACTCTAGCCATGACCATTTCCAAAATGAGTCTGTAAAGCACAGAGCTCAAGGAAGGGTAAAAATGACTCCACAAGTGCTTGCCTCGCTGAGGCTGGTCCTTGGGTGGTAGGGCTGGTCTGGGGTTCTGGGTGGTAGAAAGGGGAAGTGACCTGTGTGCAGGGAAGTATTGCAGGCAGTGGGTCGGCCTGGAACCAGACACCGAGGAGAATAAATGCTGGGAGCAAGAGGGCGTTTGTTCCAGGAAGAACAGCTGCCCACAGTGGGCAGAACGGCACCCAGGCAGGCCCAGCTGGGCTGAGGTAGAACAGTTCCAACAATGGAACTCTTGGGAAAGGACAGTGTAAAGCAATGGGCACCATACTTAACAGGTGAGGTTTATTCTGAAAAATCAAGCCGTAAAAGATAATAGTAACTTTACTAAAACTGGTAGCGAGCTCTGTTTTTATATTATTTTACTTTAAAAAATCTTATGGGAGCCATGGGGCCTAGGATAGCAGCACAGGGCTTTCAGGAGCTAGACAGAGAATCTGCAGAGGGGAGCCTGCAGAATGCCTCAGAGCCACTTCTGTGGAATTCCACCCGAGGTTACCAAAATCCTACAGTTTTTGATGTGTTCCTGCCCATGTCCTCGACTATTCGAATGGAAAATACCTGAGGACAGGGACTAGGTCTCGCTGGTTATGGCAAAGCCCAGTACTGGTGCAGTGGTACAGCACAGCATTTCTGAGGTCACCATGTGAAATGCCTACCCTTTGTCTGCGGAAACAGCGTCTTTCAAGTTATGCTCCTTTTGACAGCCCTGGTACTCCTGGAGTCAGGGTTTTTAGAATATATTAGTGCAATGAAACCATGGAGAAATAGTGCCTTATAAGTAAAACGAATTTTGTAAGTATTTAACCACGGCTGACATTTGAAGATTTCCTTACCTTCAATGCTGAACAGAGTAAATACTATATTAAGACACAGTACCCCTTGAGCAGGCAGAAACACTTGCTACAGTTTGCAGCACAGCTGGTTTTCTGACAGTAGGACTGTTCTAATTACACTGTCACTTCAGGCTAACTACAGCACGTTGGAGAGGTGGATGTGGGCTTTTTCATCTGTATGCTATAAATATCTCATTCTCTAAATTAAGATACCAGCCTAAATATGTCACCGAGAAGTAAACAAATGATAAGTTAAAAAAAATTATAGCAAAATCTAGGTGAAAGCAGTCTAAGTCCACATAATGAATTTTGGGGAGAAATAACTGTTCTCTTTCCAGGATTTTTAATTGGGAGTGTAAATAACTACACGGGTAAAGAATGCAGTGTTCCTCTAAGCCCTTCACACTGCTTAATTAGGCATGTTGTCCTCCTTGGTTGCAGAAGGAAGTGAGAGGAACAGAATTTCTAAGAGAAAAGATTTAAAGGTAGGTGTAAAAGGCACCCATGCACATCGCACAGTAACAGGAGAAGTGTGCTGTGCCTACTGATCTGTCCGAAGCCAACCTAACTTTTTAGAGGCCATTCACGAGACCAAGTTAGCAGACACATGGAGGTAGCAGTTCTGTCTTTGGCTTATTTCTCAAGGCTTTATTCCACCGCCACACACCCTGCAATGCTGAGCTTGAGTTTTAAGATGGCACCTTTTCTGGAATTACCCTCAGTTCTCCTCTCTTCAGATTCAATGCCGCGGAACAATAGGAGTAGCGTGCTAATAAATGCTTGACTGCAAAGGGACCAGCGCTGAAAAGAGCTGCTTCTTACCAGGCCAGGGAGACAGCTCTGTAAACACAGACGCCACTCAGTGCCAAGCTCAGGTAGCTCAAAGTCTGAGCTCAGCATTCTGGTAAAAAACGTTCTGTCCTTAATATAACCAGCTGCAGAAAACAAAAGAGACGCCCCCTCTGTGGCATGCTTGCCATTTGACCTCTACCCCTATACCGGCCTAAAGCCTCACTCGCAAACACACACATATTGATGTGGACCCTGGAGTTAGGCTGTCTGGGAGGTCTGTGAAGAGTGGCGGAAATGGAACCTAGCAAATGCTTTGACGGGTATAATTTTCCAACTCTAGCTTTGGCACTTTGAAAAACTATAATTTAAAAAAATCAAAGCGGCAAAGAGCAAGTTGGGCACAGCTCTGATGTCACACCTACCAAGTCTGACGTGGTGAGAGCTGTACAGAAACTAGAGAGGCCAGGGGCTGGCAGAGGAGAGATGCAGCGGCGTGTTCGGGTGAAACTGATTCCCCCGCGGTCTGGTAAAGTGAGTCACCCTCAGGAAGCCTTGAGGAGCAGCCTTCCTTCTGAGGAACCTGCATGGAAGTGTCCCTGCCAGCCCGCTAGGGAGGGCACATGCCCTCACGGTTCCCCTCGGGTGCCCCAAGACATTAACCCTTACTAGAAGTTAGACCTCTGGAGGCAGGAAACATGGGAGGTGGCACAGAGCCCTTGGACAGGAGGAATGTGGCGCTGAGACCCACTCTGCCTTAGATGTGTGGTTTTCTTGGAAAAAATCCAAGCCATTCTTTAACCCACAGATGGGGAAACTGAGGCCCAGGGCCGTGAACTGGTGCCCCACTTCGCACGCTTTAATGGCAGGGCCAATATGCAGGCACCACCTCCTGGTCCAAGACCCTTTTCTGAAATTGCAGTGCTCCCAACTCCTTTCCCCTCTCCAGGCTCCCAGGTCCGTGCCGTCCAGGCGAAGCCAACCTTCCCTCCCCTCTCGCGCTCTGCCCGGCCGCCCTACCTGCCGAGCCGTCGGGGCCGTCTTTGTCCGCCCGGCCAGGCTCACCAGCGCCCTGCTGGCGGTCGTTGTCGCAGCCGCCCTGGTCCAGGCGCGCCTCGGCGCTGGAGCAGCAGTAGCGCAACGCGCAGCTGCCGCAGCAGATGGTGGCGTCACCGCCGTCGAAGCGCTCGGGGCACTGGAAGCCGATGCGCCAGACTCCCTGCGCGTCCAGCCAGCCGTGGCAGTACTCGCCGCTGGCCCGCGCCCCCGCCGCCAGCAGCGCGGCCAGCAGCAGCTGCAGGAGTGAAGCCGCGGTTCGGGAGGAGGCGGCCGACGGGCGGCGTCCTCCCCACATGGCACCACCCTGGGCGCGGGCGGCGCGTCTCCAGAGGGCGTAGAGCGGTCTCCGGGAAGTCGTGGCCCCCGGGACCCGGGTCCCTGGAGTACTGAGGCCGGAACCTCTTCACTGAGTGTCCCTTCACGGCGCTTCCCGCAAGGGCCACTGCCCTCTGCCGCGACGTCCGGGAGCCGACGACGCCGGGCTGCTGGGCCAGGGGACTTCTAAGCCATCCCCTCTCTCAGCCCGGTAGCCTGGTCCGGAAGGGGCGGCTTTGAGAGTGGGTCCGCGCTGATGGAACTCTCCTCGTGCAGTCAGAGGGCCCCTGGGGCTGCGGTGCCGCAGCCCCTGGAGGCTTCACCCGCGACAGGAACCGCTCTGTGCATCCCCGAGGGGACGATCCCTGTAGTCGGATGACCGCTGGGCACGCCGCTGCGGACCCGGAGCCAGGGCGCTGCCGCAGGGTTTGAGACTCGGGGTCCCGCCCACGAGTCGGGGCGACTCTCCCTTCTTTTACTCCCCTCTAGAACGAGAAGGGGTCGAGAAGGCGGACAGCGCGCGCAGGGCTCCGGGCAGCAAGTGCAGCGGCCGGCAGCGCTCAGCCTGCTCAGCTTCGAACTCGGTCCGCATGGCTCCGGCCGCGCCGCCCAGGAAGGCCTCCCAGGAGCAGCCCCAACGCTCCCCGCCGCGGGACTGGAGGTCAGTCCTCCCAGCGCACGCACGCAGCGGTCCTGGACGCGGGCGAGGGGCCAGCGCGCCCCCGCCGCAGTCCCGGGAGCCTGCCGGGCTGGAGGCGGCTGCTGCGCGCGGGTCCAGGCGGGTGGCTTGCGCCGGTCCCCCTCCTCCGCCTCTCCGGCTGCAGCTCGCTCCCACGGGTGCCTGGCAGCCTCCGACCGGCTCTCCCTCTCTCCCAGGCCCTTGCGCCCTCGGGAGGTGTGCACCGATGGGAGCCTCCCACGGAAGTTTCAATTCTCCGGGCTACGGAAGAAGCAGAGCGCGGCTGCCGCCCGCACACTCGCCGCGCCCGGCACCCAGCCAGCTCCGACTCGGCTGGCCGCGGCGCTGCGCTGCGCTCTTATGAGAGTCAGGCGGTGGCTCGCATGCGCATGCGTGCTGCGCGGACTTCCCTCCTCCCCTGGACGCCCCACGACACCGGAGCCCTTCACCTTGGAACTCGGGTGGAGGAGAATGGCAGGGGCCCAGGGCGGTGGGTTGCCGACTAGAACAGGCGCGGGAGAAAACAGAATTTAAATAATCTAGACCTTGCTCACACAATAACAACAACAATGATAATAAAAACAAACTAAACTTGCTTATTGAAGATCTTTGGCATTCAAAATTCTGTTTGAATCTCAAAACCTCCCCCAAATGAATTATAATTGCTTTACATTTTGCAGACAAAAAAGTTGCCACTCAGATTAACTGTCTCTCTCAGCTTGCAGCAGCTGACGTCCTGTCCTGATCATGGCCCATCACAGGCCCAGCCAAGAAAGAACCTGGACGTTGGTGGCAGGGTTCACCCACCTGGGTCTGCATCTGGTGGGCTCTAGCCTTCTACAAGGTGGAAGGAAGAGTTCGTTTGAGAAAGATATCACAAATTTGGCCACTGTCCGCATGATTTGTGTTGCTTTTTAGAATTCCTGTATTTGGGCGTAGGGATTTATGGGATTACAGCAGAAAGGTGCCTGGGTTCCACGTTTGGCCTCCGTGACACCACGTGCAGACAGCTGCAGCTAGAAGAAAACAAGGTTCAGACAGACGAGAAATTCGGCTTTGATGAAGGAGAAATTAATAGCTTCTCTCTTGCGGAAGCTGAAGCAACAGGTGCTGATGCTATTAACGCAGCAGTGATTATTTTTAAAGGGACTAGTGACCCTTTCGACATGGTCTGGAAATCAGCTGACCTGAAAGCTAGGCTCAGCCCTACCAATAAAGAAAGAATCGCTGCATTTTGCTCCCCTCAGCTTCTTCATCTTTCAAGTGGAACATAGGACGTGATGACTACTATGGTCCCTTCCCAGTCCGTGACTATAGAGCACAAAACAATTTTATTCACAGCAACAACACTGCTGTTCAAGCAACCTTTGGGCCCTTATGTATGCCTGGTAAATGTGCAGACTGACAAGTTGTCGATGTCCTTCCACGCACCCCAACAAAATCAAATCAAAGGGAAAAAAGCATACCCTTCTCCCCCACCCCAACAAACACCTTATTCTTTTCACTAAACCTCTCTCCAAGCATTGCATGTTATTTCATTGTATTTTTTTGTTATTTTTAGCTACATGAAATTATGTATTTTCAATGCACCAGCCACCAACTTTTCTTAACCTAATAAGTTCAAGTTTCAATATCAAATTATTCATTCAGCAAATACATGCTAAGGGCTTATGGTATACTTTGCTCTGTACTGGATACTTGGGATTCATCAAGAAGTTAGATATTGTGGCCACTTCCTGCAAACAGAACTTAAAGTCTTGGAGTAACACAGAAATTGGACAGAAAGGCAAAGAACTGAATACTCGTAAGCAAAGGTAATATATGATAATAGCTATGACTGGTGATATACAGGGTCCATTTAAGCGCAAAACCTGAGAGTGGGGAGGGGAGGGACGTCAGAAAAATCATTAGAGGAGTGGCACTTAACATTAGACCAGAAGAAGCTGAAGGAAGACTCCATTTTTCAGATTGTCTTTTTTCTTAGAAGATACTCTTAGCTGGTGTTCATTGAGGGCTTACTCTGTGCCAAGCACTGGACTGAGCCTAGTCTCCTTTAGTCCTCATAGCAACACTGTGAAAAAGACATAATTGCTATCCTCAATAACTTGCCCAATCCGTACAGATAGAAAGTGTCAGTGTGCCCAGGCTGCACCCAGTTCTAACCAACTTTAAAGTCAGCCCATCACCCTGCTAGTCATCACCACAGTCTCCTCTACAGTAAGCCCAGGATTAACTGTGAACTCCATACCAGTCAATCAACAGATGGTTAGATATCATTATTTTCCTATGGCACCATCAATGGATTTGGATGGTATTCAGAGGCTTAATACCTCACCTTTTCTTTTCCCTTTGGAAAAACAATTAATGCACAAGAATTGTACATTTTTTGGACAGTACCTATACCATAACCTCCTTCCACTATTCATTTATCCTCTTCTCCAAAACACCCACAATTTGTCAGAGTTTATTTATGAAGAAAGAGATGTTGAATGTTTTCAGATTGGAAGTGATTTAGTGACCTGGTAGTGCCACAGTTTACACACAGTAAGTTTTGCCCTAATCATTCACACTTTAGTCCACAACTGGTAAACCTGGAAGAACAGAGCTTTCAGCAAATTCAGTTTTTTTTAATTGTAGTGTTCTTTTATTCTTTAGAAGTTAAGGGGAACCCTGTTGCATAGTTACTTTATGTGTTGGTCAGTTGTCTTCAGTGCTGAGATACTTTATATCACTCTGTCCCTCCCTCTGATTGTTTTTACTTTTTCTTTGTGTATCTAGTACATTGTATTGAAATTTTATAAAATAGGTCATCAAATACTTATTGAGCTTCTCTTTCAGAGGTGCTAGGAGACATATTAAGATGGTTTTATTCTTTCCATAAGAAACTCCCTCACTGTCCTCAACAGACAGCCTAAACTATTTCACTAGTCTCTTATGAGAAACTGTAACTAATAATAATAACATATAGGTAGTAGTAATAATTTATTATAATCAAAAGTAAATGTCAGGCAGACTACCAAAATATATTTAAACACATATGAAAGAATTCTATACAAAAGTTCCATTAAAAAAGTTACATTATAGAGACATTAATTGCAGAAGTATATTTTCAGGTTATTTCATCTTTCATTCTGTGTCTGTATGTATAAATAAAATACAATTGACTTAAAAACAGACTTCTGACATATCTTCAATAGTACAAGTAGACAGTCATAGAACTAAAGAAATGATTACTTATAACCCTGCTAACTGGAGTTGATACCAATCATATGGAGGTAATCATATTTCATTTGGCTGGCAGTTTTAAAAGCTGCAAGATCTACAGTGTTTTTCTGCAAGTTTAAGCAAGAGCAGAAGGTTCTTAGCATCTGCACACCAGTCAGCAGTCTGGTTAGCGAGAATGGCTTTCACTCGGTTCATTCATTTTTTTTTCCTCCTCTTTTATAAATAGAAATAGTATTGAAAATTCGCATTTGGTTTACCAGAAGTTCTTTTAAGTTAAAGTGTTTGTGTTCACAAATGAGACCTCAAACCCAACAAATATGTTAATTTACACTTCTTTCAGTTTTGTCTTGTGGTTATTTAACCTCATCTGAAAATAAAAATGATCATACAATTTTGAAAAAAATATTTTTTGTTGCTTTTAAATGTTTGATTTTTCATCCTCCCTTTTTTTCCTTGTAATTAATATACCAACTTTCAGAAAAGTAATTTCCATATTTTAAATTTTTTCCTTCTCATCTACCATTAACTTTAAACATTTGGCATACTCCTCTCCCTCCCCTGTCCTCACCCCTAACCCTGAAGTTTACTGAACCATTCTCATGTTGAGTTTGATGTTTACTATTGTTTTGTTATATTTTATTTCTGGAGACATAGAGTTAAAAATCCATCCAGGACTTCTTCCAATAATGCCAGACTATCTAAAAGGGAGGCATAAACAAAATCAACATGACATCAAAAAGCCTACAGCAAATATTTGCAAATCATATATTTGATAAGAGGCTGGTATTCAGAGCATATATACATATCCACAACAAAAAGACAAAACAACCCAATTAAAAAAAACAGGCAAAGAACTTGAATAGACATTTCTCCAAAGATACACAATAAACACATGAAAAAAAATTCAACATCATTAGTCATTAGGGAAATGCAAATCAAAGTCACAATGAGATACCACTTTACACCTACTAGGATGGCAATCATCATCATCATCATCATCATCATCATCATCATCATCATAAAATAACAAGTGTCGGAAAAGATGTAGAGAAACTAGAGCCCTTGCACATTGCTAGTGGGAATATAAAATGATGCAACCATTGTGCAAAAACAGTTTGACAGTTCCTCAACAAATTGAACACAATATTATCATATGACTGCAATTCTGCTCCTGAGTATGTATGCCCAAAGAGTTGAAAACATGTGTATACAAAAATATGTACATAAATGTTCACAGCAGCACTATTCATAAAAGCCAAAAAGTGGAAACAACTCAGTATCCATCAACTGGTGAACAGATAAATAAACTGTGGTACAGCCACACAATTGGAATATTATTTGGCCATGAAAAAGAATGAAGTTCTGAAACATGCCACAATATGGATGAACCTTGAAACATTGTGTTAAGTGAAAGAAGTAAGACACAAAAGACACATATTATATGCATGATTCCATTTATATGAAGTGTCCAGAACAAACAAATCCATAGAGACACAAATCAGATTAGTAAATTGCCTGGGGCTAGGGGCAGGGAAGAAAGAAAAGTGACTGCTTGGTGGGCATGGGTGTTTCCTTTGGGGATGAAAATGTTCTGGAACTAGATAATGGTGGTAGGTGCACAACACTGTAAATGTACTAAATGCCATTTATTTTACTTTAAATGTGTTTTATCACAATAAAAAAGAATCAAGAACTGAAAAATAATTTTTTATATAAAGGCTACAGCTATAAAACTAGTTATCTGCCCATGATGTCACATAAAGGTTATGAAACAGATTCATCAATTTCAAGGCTTTATTCTCTTAACAATAAGTGGACCTGACAGAAATCAGTTAGTTAACTTAATTGTGTCCCCCCAAAAAATTCATAGGGAAGCTCTAATGCCAATGTGACTGTACTTGGGTATAGGACCTTTAAGGAGATAATTAAGGTTAAACGAGATCATAAGGATGGGGCCCTAAACCAATAGGAGTGGTGTCTTTCTAAGAAGAGGAAGAGACACCAGCAGGCATGTGCACAGAAGAAAGACCATGTGAGAACACAGTGAGAAGGTGACACTCAAGCCAAGGAGAGAGGCCTCAGGAGACATAAAAGCTGCTAGCTCC